TTTTTTTTTTATCAGTCTTTGTTTTCCTTCGTATCTATTCTTCTTTAATCACGCAGTCGTTTTACCTCCAGAAAGGTGCAAAGTTGTTTCTCGTCTAAAAACACAAAGCGTAAAAATTTTCAAAAGAGAATTTTCCAACCATTAGTAGAAACAATGCGTAGTCGATGGATAGTCCGTAGGATGATGGAAGGTAATCTAGGATTGCTTAATAAGAAACAAATGGGGAAGAAGAAAAACCGCATCGTCGAGTTGCGTTGTATCGCGTCCGTGTCCCGTGAGAGAAGCCGATGTCGCTGCGGGGAGCAACGCGGGGGAGGCAACTCCCGGCATAGCATAAAGGTGACTCCTCGCAGCCAAGATCTCCCATATGCTACTTAGCGTTCGGTTCGGCAAACCTCCTGTCCGCCTCTTCCTCCGCTAAGAAGCGTTTGTCACAGACTTAACGCAGATTCGGTCGATGTTACACGCTGTCATCGGGCTATTATTCGAGGCGAGTCTGCAGAGACTACCATCGTTGGCAGTCGTCGTCGCGTGTTGCGAGCCTACTTTCGGAACTGTTTTCCACGTAGGAGAATGATATCGAGTGACGTTCGATTTTCCCTTTTGGCCATACTCTTTCTATCGTGTACTTTCAACGTGCACGCACATCCAAGTCGCTTTTCCGACGATGATAATACCAGCGTGGAAGAATTTGTCAATCCGTGGTCGTTGGATGACTTGAGCGAAGGGAGTGAGCACGACGCTAATCGGGACGAGGCTTTAGAAAAACTGCAACAGGTCCGTCTCCAGATAATTGTGTCGTATAACAACGCTGTTTGTGAGACTTAGTGAGAACGGAACTCTTATTTCCGAATGGTTAGAAATAAGAGCGAAACGACCAAGTAAATTTGATTGGCGGAAGAAGCATGTTTGAAACGAACCATGTTAACTAGACGATGAAATCGTTGCAGGTTCTTGGTATTCGCAGTCACGGTGAGAAAACAGGACATCGTAAAGTGCCGCCGCAATTTATGGTGGAACTGTATAATAACGTAGCCGATGCCAGCGGTGTAACGCGAGGTAAAAATCCATACAATGCCAAGGTTGTTCGCAGCTTCATCGAAAGAGGTAAACGCACCCCTGTAACATAACTCCATACGTCTAAAAAGTGAAATTTTACTAAAGCGAAAAGTTTTACGCAGATACCACCATATCGCGATTATACTTCTTCAATATCACGGGTCTAGAAGTGAATGAATCGGTTTTGGAGGCGGAGCTCCATCTTTATCGAAAAAGAACACCTTTGAAAATTACGCATCCATCCATTTTAGCCTCTCCTTACTACTTAGTAAGTAGATGCGCGTTAATCGTAATTTGTTGATTTCTGAAGGATTCTGTTGACGAGTATGTCTTGCTTTAGATAAGAGTATATCAAGTCTTGGATGAGAAAAGTTTAGAAGTTCCCGATCTTCACAGATTGTTGAACATTCGATATGTCGGAGCACATGCGTCTGGTTGGCAGGCAGGTTTCAGAATTTTGGAATTAAAAAAAAAAAAAAAAAAAAAAAAAATACTAAATTCCGACATATTATTAAATAATTCACTTTTTCATCAGATATTCAATGTGAAACACGCTGTTCTTGCCTGGTTGGCCGGGAAACCGAATCTTGGACTTTTGGTAACCGCTTCTACTGTATTCGAGGATCAAGTGATGGTGGAGTTTTCACGACGGAACGAGTATCATCATAGTAAACAACCCATTTTAGTATTGTTCGACGACGACGGGAAAGGACACCGAGACGATCGTAACAACAACGAGATTGAAGGAACATCGCACGAAGACGAAGACGAAAATGACTTGAAGAACGACTACAGTGATAAAACACTCGAGAAACATGATCGGGGAAAAGGTCAGCCGGAAGAGACTCGATGGGAGAATGAGAATAAATCTGAATTCTTTCAAAGACAGAAGAGAACACAAATAGTAGGGCATGACGTAGTGACTGAAGCAGTTCGAGGTACTCGAGATCTTGCAGAAGAATCGTCCAGGCGACATCGAAGAGAAGCCATTTTCTATCCGAGAAACGTTTTAACGTCGATGGAGGTATACCAGCGAGCGATGCGCCGCGAAAGAATAGGAGAAAGAGTTCGTCAGAAGTCGGTATCGAACGAAAAATCTCGTGAGAAACGATTGGCTAGAAGTCATGCGTCTGTTCAACAAAATGTCACCGAATGTACGAGGCACGAACTCTACGTCGATTTTAAAGAAATCGGCCTTTCTTCTTCTATCATCGCTCCGCCTGGTTATTCCGCCTATCATTGCAAAGGTATCTGCGAATCACCGTTGAGTCAAGATCAACAACCGACAAATCACGCGACTATTCAGGGAATCGTTCATAAAATGGGATTGGTGAAAGGAGTCGAGAGACCTTGCTGCGTACCAACGAAACTATTGGGCACAACCATTCTGTTTTTCGATGACAACGAAAACGTGGTCCTAAAAGTTTATCAAGACATGATCGCTGATCGTTGCGGATGTCGTTAAGGACATTTCATCGTTTTCTTTTTTTCCTTCGTAGGAAGAAAAAAAGCGAATGAAGCATCAACGTATGTCTCAATGGTGATTAAAAAGAGGAGAATACGTAAATACGTGAGAAAAAAGAAAAAACTGGAAACGTGGTGGAGGGAAGGAGAGAGAGAGAGAAAGAGAGAGAGAGAGAGAGAGCGGCAGAATATATATGCATCAGGTAAAAATGATTTTTACACACTAGCACAAGAGTCATTCCTAGAGATTCGTCTGAAGATCGTCCCAACATTGTACATAAGAACATTCCTAAATTCGCGTAGGGTTATACGTATCAATGATTAGCATATTTACATCGTATCCTATATTGTCGTTAAATTATTATTATAATCACATCGTCTCGATCATTGTATATACTACTGTGTCGTAGAACGTTAGAATTATTTATATTTTAATTATGACAAATAAAACGAGTATTTAAGCTATTGAGCCACTTTCACACGTAATAACTCGCTCCTTCTCATACTTCCATCATGATCGAACGAGATTTGTGCTATAAGCCGTAGGTTCTATATTTGGAAAGATGCTATTAGCTTATTAATTATTAATTTTAATAAATCGCGTGTCTCACTCCTCTCTCAAATCGAATCGGATGAGTGAGAAAAATCGAGCTGAATGGTTTAGACGTAGCAAAGTGATTTTCTCGAAAGAAATTTGGGTGAGCAATGAAATCGAGGCGCGAACTTTATGAGCAAGCCAGTAAAATAAATTTGACGGTAACAGACGATGACTTTGGCGCCACTGGATGCAGAAAAGTATTCGTGGAGTATCAGTACTTCCGGTGGAATATCGGTGCCGCTATTTTTTACTTTTTCTCATAACCAGGTATCGATCGTAGCAGACGAATAAATAAATAAATGACATCGAATTGAAATCGGGTGGCGCATTGAACTACCGAAAAAAATCTTTCGCCAATTTTCTCTTATTGATATCTCTACGATTCATCCTTTCGCATTTTCTTTGTTCCTTTATTTGTAACAATGTTTCGTCCCATTGCTGCATTCATTCATAACATGCCAAGAACGTAAACAGATTAGTTTAATGACCTATTTGGAATCATGGTGCAATCGTAGATTGTAGTTCGGAGTTTCACGTGGAACTCACGCAGCGTGAAACGTGAAAAATTAAACGAAATTACGCACGATTAGGTAATCTCCACTGATCGTCTTCGTCACTGCCTCTATCTGTCTTCCTGTTTTCTTGTTAGCTGCCTTTGGCAAATCGCACGCGCAATTTCCACCGACGCCTCCCACAGATCCAACCAATTTGTCCGAGGTAATAATTTTAGGTTTCCCATCCTTTGGTCCCACACGCGATAGTTCATCACGGTAAAACACGAGCAAAAGGTAGGAGACATTCATACGAAAATACTGGGACGATAAATAAGATGATCAACGCTACACTTTTGATGCCAGGATTTGCATATTTGCGAGCGGCCGCTGGTTCGCGTGCCATCGTACTGCATTCCGTGTGCGTGCATCTCCAGTTATATTTAATGCACGGTGAATATATTTTTGAATCTGCCCGCCTAAAAATAGTCGGGACGCGTTCCGTTGCATTCCAACGCTGTACATATTTAGATTTCTGATATCGTAATACGTGCCATTTCAATCAAAGATGAAGATGCTCGTGACAAACAAGAATTTCACCCGTTTATTTCCCTCTTTTCGCTTTTACATAATTATCAAGCTTTATTAGGCAAAAGATACAAAACCGAATGGAAATTGCGACACTTGAAGATTCGCATTTTCCTCCAATCCGGTGCGTTACGAACTCACGAAATAGCTGTTGAAAGAATTACATAAATACATTTAGGGATTGGAAGGATATCGGGTTAGAGGAGGGTGGCTAGAAGAACGTAGGACAAATGGGAAGGAAGGGAAGTAGTGAGAAGAAGACGAGATAAAATCGGTGTAAAAAGAAAAGGGAAAGCGATAGGGCTGCTGAACTGCTGCTAAGTAAGAAACCCTAAGTCGTAAACCGTACAACAGCCTGTACAATGACGTAGTGTTCTGTCATCCGGCGCGCAACCTCTCCAGCCTCTCCACTACCACTGCTTGGCCATTATAGTGGGACAGAACCTCACGAGTTCACAACTATACATATAGTGGAAGGCCTTTGAACAGTGCGCGCCTCGTGCCTTGTGTAAGCTGTGTTTCTTCCTTCCCGTCGCCTCTGCTTTGCCGTTCTTTCTTTCGTCACTTTTTTCCCCGCTCTCGTTGACGCATCTCTTCTCCACCAATCTATAGTCTTCAATTGCACGACGCGATTGTCGATCACTTTGCCGATCGTTTCGCATTAATCGATCGTGATTCGATCGGCGGCTGGGACCACAGGGATGAAACACGCGAAATACCAATTTCGTGAAATTGGATACGCGTCAAGTAAAGTAATATCGTAATTTCTTACGATTAAATATTCAGCGAGAAGACATGAAGAATCAATGGTAAACATGATTGTCTCGGTCTTTGTATATTGGGTTCTTGTTTTCCAATTGATATTAATTGTTTCGATCGTAAGCACGGGAAATCGTCAAGTAAGTATCATACTGCTGCTTTAAATACCATTATACGAATATTGTCATAAATACTTATTTGAATCACATTTTTTTATCAATGGAAAGGTGAATCATTTCTTCTTCTTCTTTTTTTTTTTTTTTTTTTTTTTTTTTTTTTCTCTTTGTCAAATGATGTCCGTGATGAATCGAAATGCGGGAAACTGAAATTTTACCCGCACGCTGATTAGCTGCTACGCCATTGAATGGGAAACGATCTTACAACGAACGCTTCTAAGAAGTAGAAACGTTCTGTGTCTCACGGATCGGTGAGAGTATTCCATTTCGCTCCGTTCCATTCCAGCATGTATTGCCGCGTCCCTTTTCCTTGCGAGAGTCTCGTATCTCTCATCGACGAGCCGAACACGGCTGCTTTTGATGTTCCGCCGACCTGTTACCCTCCTCTGTCACGAACGATCGAACGAACCCTCCACATCAAATCCGCTCGATTTGAATTTGAATTGCGCTAGGATCGACTTCTTCCTCCGCAAATAATCGACAGACTATTACTTCTTTCTTATCCATAGATCGATAATTATGAAGTCAGCGGAGATTTGCAGAGGATCGTACATGAGAAAGCGATTTTGGGTTTACTATATCCATCCTGGATAAACGGTCAGTTAGTACGAGGTAAACGAAACGAACAGGTCGAAGATGAAGCGACGCCTACGAGGCACGCGAAACATCGGAAACGACGTCGTTATAGAAACCGATCGACGTATCTTCGAAATATTTCTGCGACCAGGCTGTCTCTTTTGTCGGACAACGACACGGTAGCAGTAGATCAAAATTCCAAAGAAATCAAAGATGATCCTGACAGAAACAGTAGGATTCTAGGGGCCGAAGAAGAATCACGGGATCGATTGGGGGTGATTATTTGCAACGTTGACGCTGCAATAGATCTTCAAGGGAAGCAAAAATAAATTGGACTACATTTTTTTTCTCTCGGTACGTAGGATTCGTGTAACAATACCAACGTGGAGAATTACGATGTAATTGACGAGGAGGAGAGCAAAATCGATTCAAAGGAAAGAAGTTTTATTACAACGGAGGGAAATAACAGCTCCGTGAATTACAATGTTGACGAACGATCTACTTCTGCAGAAATTGAGTTTGAAAATGTTGACGAACTTACCAGGAAAGGAGGTCGATCCAAAAAGCATTCATTCGAGAGTACAGATTATCTTGACGAATCGCATTCTTCGGATATTTACTCGGCCATCGACGATCGAGTTATGTTCCACGAAAGCTTAAGTGTTTTAGTGAGCAAATTGTTTCAAAATCTGCGGAACGCTTCTACAGCGGACGGACAAGAGATCTTCAAGGAGTTGAATTTTGTAAATGCGACGAACGAAGATCCTTGCCAGAAGTGGTTAAACAGCAAGGATAAACTTGAGCAAGTTTTCTTAGGTACGAACTCGACATTCATAGTGTTCGAACTACTTGGTGCTTGGTTTCTCGAACTCACCGTTACAGGTGGTCTAACGTCGTTACCTGCCTGTCCGTGCCTGTACCCGAGAAATATCTTTTATGACGACAAAATTTGGGATGAGAAGCGAATGAAGTATTTCAGGTGGAGAGACGTAAGTGGTAGTTCTCAAAGGCTTGACGTCTACAAGCCTGGAGCTACTTACTGCGTGCGCTCGTTGCTGACACAAGGAAGCGGAAGCGCCGCAGCTCAACATTGTTGCTATGACCATCGAAGGAAACTCTTGACCCGTGGTTCCGGTGCTGGTACCCCGTATTTTGTCAGTCCCGAGATATCACCTATTATACACGAGAGGATTGACGTGTTGCCCTGGAGACTCTGCAAGGGTGATTTCTCCAGGTCTCTCTCACTTGCAAATAGTCGATCTATGATTAAAGGTGATACCACATTTCCCATTTCATCTAACTTCCAATGTAATTAAAATTATAGATACAATGGTGTAAGGCCGCCAAACAATGATAACGCCTGCGAGGCGAATCCCGACGACGAGGAGTATCAACGACAGATCGACAATACTAAGTATTATTAATTATCATGGGATAAGAAATTTATAACTTCACAATAAGTATACTTCTATCGAGTGATTGTTATGTGCCTAGAGAACGTTTGTATAGTGAAATATAAGAAATAAACACATCGCTGTTAATTTAATCGTTGGTTAATTAATTTGATTGGTATTGCTGTTTGGTCTTATTTCTAGGCAGGATCCTTTTAATGTAGATCATAGACTTTTACGCTGATCTCTCGCTAGAATGGTCATTCATCGATCTTTCCTGTGACTAAGGTTGGGATTTACTAGAAAAAAATCTCACCGATGAATTCATTAAAAAATTCTTCTTTCCTCTTACACGTCTAAGGATCTTATCCCTCCTTTTTCTCATCACCGACTTCCGAAAATATGAAATTTAAAAAGACGCGCTTAAATCGAGGGCTATTGCTTAAACCGGTTCCGAGCATGCCACTGGCGCGTTTCCAGTCACGTTTCTCGCGCTACTTTCTGAACGAAAGAGAGGGAGCAAAGCGAATGCAGGGACGAGTAAAGTCGATTCAACCGCGTGAGCGTTCCATCAGACCGTTCAGTCGTTATGGTTACTGCTGGCAAACACAGGTTCCGTTTTGCCTCTAATAACAAGTTAAATTTAATATTTCAAACTCGGTAGGCAACGATGGATTGGGCTGCGGATTTAGAAATCACCTCGAAA